TCTCAGGTTCGGGCCATGCGCTCTCACATCACAGCTGCCTCACAGCAGCATTCAGGGAAAATAACCATTAAGAAATCTGAGCTGAAGGCAGCCGGGACTCTGGGGGTTGTTGTTGTTATTTTCCTGTCATGTATTTTCCCATATTATTGTTTGGCAATTACAAGTGAAAGCACCTCCCTAAATTCTCCAGCTTTTGGCTTTGATATCTTTTTGATCTACTTGAATTCCTTATTCAACCCTCTGATCTATGCGTTTTTCTATTCTTGGTTTAGAAAATCTATTAAACTTGTTCTTACATTTCGATTAGTTAAACATGGCTCTCGTGATTTTTCTTTTTCCTCATGATGACGCTAAGATCTGCTCTGTTTCCACAAAGATTTGTGGCTCTGTGATACACAGAGTTAATTTGACTGATGTTAGAGAAATCAATATATGTATAATCACTTTCTTAATTTCTCTCTGGTAACTTTCCACAAGTGAATATTTTAAAGGTTCTTTTTCTTTCTCATGGGACTCATTCCTTCTAGGTCTCAGAGAGGGTCTCCTTATACTTTATCTCTGAATGTTTTGTCTGGAGGATTGTTTCATACAGGTGCAGAATGAAGGACATACTCTACGTCTTATTTTCAGGCTCAGAGGGCTATAAAATGCATCATGATTTGTTTTACTTTGGGGCAGTTCGGTGCCTCATATGAACCACCTGTATGATCGTGCTGGCTGCTCTCATTTCATGAAGTTTTCCCTTCCCTTTTAATAAATTTATATTTCCTACTTCCTCAGATGGACTCAGACTTTTGCTTTAAAATAAAATTTCCACAACAACTGAGTTACACAGAATTTATTAGATTCATATTTATTGTTGTCAGGGAGTGAAGGGGCTCTGGGGATTGTGGTAGTTATTATGCTTTAATGTATTTTCTCATATTACTGTGTGGCAATTACAAGTAAAAGCACCTCTCAATGCTTCAGATATTGGCTTTGATATCTATATGATGTACATGAATTCCTTATTCAACCCTCTGATCCATGCCTTTTTCTACTCTTGATTTAGAAATCCATTAAACTTATTCTTACATTTAAATGACTGAAACATGGTTTTCGTGATTTTTCTCTTTCCTCATAATGAAGCTGAGATGGGCTCCATTACCACAAATTTTTGTTCCTCAATAATGTACAAAGTATATTTGACTGATTTATTGAGTTATCAAGAATTCATCAGATTCAGATGGTTTGCTTTGAGTGAGTGAAAACATCACAGGCAGTCAATGACATTTCCAGGATGACTTGTTAAAACTGCAATTTAAACTAAAACATGGGCCTCAAAGCAAAAAATGAAAGTATGAATACTGTGCTTTTAAAAAAAAAAGTATTTCAAATACGTCTATTTCTTCGTTTAAATGTCTGAAAAAGCACATTTGTTCAGACTGGTCTCAAAATACCTAAGTGAAACACAGATAAAGGTTAGTAATTCATCAATGAATGTAAGCACTCAGCTGACAAAGATGGATTTATAAATATGGTTAAGTTATTGTTCAGACATATGTCCAATTATTCCAAGCATAAATACACGGAGACCATGACCACTTGAAGGCAATGTGGAGTCAATGGTGATTTTTCTTACTTCGTTATTATACATTGGACAATCTGAAAGTTCTGTCAATATAAAGGTCTTTACCACATTAATATTTTTATTCTGATAATCAGTGTCATAGTGGGTACTTTTGATATTGACATCAGTTCCTCTAAAATCTTCATCTAAATCAATTAGAAATCTTAAACATGAATCTGAATATTATCCATCCATCATTGTAACCCTTTATTCCCTAATGGGATCGTGGGGGGACTGAAGACCTTATGGAAAGGCTACTATCCACCACATGGCTCAGTGAAATCTGAATGTTAAATCTGACTAAACATATTGAAATGTTAAATCCATCCATCAGACGATTAGTGTAACCCCTTATTCCCTAATGGGGTCGCGGGGGTACTGTAAGCTATCCCAGTGAACAATGGGGAGAGGCGGAGTCACCCTGGATGGTCCCAAACCCACCTCAGTGGTACCCAAGACAATTCAATTCAATTCAATTTTATTTATATAGCGCCACATCACAACAACAGTTGTTTCACAGCGCTTTCCAAACAGAGCAGGTCAGACCCTACTCCGAAGTTAATTACAGAAACCCAACAATTCCCACCATGAGCAAGCACTAGGCGACACAGGCAAGGAAAAACTTCCTTTTAAAAGGCAGAAACCTGGAGCAGAACCATGGCTCAGGGCTCCAGCCTGAGAGGAATCTTAACACTGTCACCTCACAGCAAGAAGGTTCTGGGTTGGAGTCCCGGGGTAACCAGGACCAGAGGGTTCTGGGTTGGAGTCCCGGGGTAACCAGGACCAGAGGGTTCTGGGTTGGAGTCCCGGGGGAACCAGGACCAGAGGGTTCTGGGTTGGAGTCCCGGGGGAACCAGGACCTTTTTGGGTGGAGTCTGCATGTTCTCCTGTGTCTGTGGGTTCCCTCCGGGTTCTCCGGCTTCCTCCCACCATCCAAAAACCAGCATGTTAGGTTGGTTGGACTCCAAACTGCCCTTAGTGTGAGTGTGAGTGGTTGTTGGTCCTTGTATGTCTTGTGTGGGGCCCCGCGAAGGACTGGTGGACTTTCTAGGGTGCCTCTCGCCCATTGACCACCGGGATAGGCTCCAGTCCCCGCGACCCCATTAGGGAATAAGCTGTAAAGATATTGGATGGATGGCCCTCTGGTTGACACCACGAATGGCCCTGACAGCCCTCAGACAGCAGCTCTTGGTGTCATGATTTTGTCCAACCTCCCCAAACAGAACATGTTAAACATTATGGTTAAGCTCCTTGTGCAGTCTGTGGTCATCTCCCGCCTTGACTATTGCAACGCGCTCCTGACTCTCCCAGCCTGTACAGTAAAACCTTTACAAATGATCCAGAACGCGGTGGCGCGTCTGGTCTTCAATCAGCCCAAAAACTCTCACGTCACCCCTCTGAACTCCACTAGTTACTTCTGGCTGCCCGTATCAAATTCAAGTCCCTGATGCTAGCCTACAAAGTGCTTAAGGGTACGGCTACCATCTACTTGAATCCCCTTGCAAAGGCTTATGTCACAACTCGATCACTCCGGTCATCAGTGGACTGTGGTCTAGCAGAGCCTTCACCAGCTTAAGACCATCCAGACTGTTTTCATGTGTCGATCCCTAGATGGTGGAACGACCTACCAAGCGCCACAAGAACAGCAGGTCCCTGTCTGTCTTCAAGAAACTCTTGAAGACCCACCTCTTCAAAGAGCATCTCCTATCCTAACCCTAACCCGTACCTCTACCCCCCCACAGCTCCTTCTGTAGTCCCTCTACCTCTATCTCTTGCTATCACCACTGATTCTGATCAGTGTTCTCCTGTATATAGCTTATTGTCATAGTGATGAGAAATGTAATATTGGGTCTACTCTGTAAGTCGCTTTGGATAAAAGCGTCTGCCAAATGCATAAACATAAACATAAACATAAACATTCTCCAGAAGGTGCAAGCTGAGGACCTGTTGGGTAGGGGCCTGTGCCAGATGCACCCCACTTCACTTCCAAACAATTCTGATCATACCAGGTCGGCTGTTGCAAATGTCTCCACAAAAATCAAGTCAAACGCTCCTTGAACCGCGCAAAGATTTCCTTCAGCTACTTTAGTTATGACCCACCTGAGTCATTTCTCTGCCTGGTAATCTCTTTTAAAGTATGTAGGTTTAATTCTAGTTTTCAGAGTTCTTGAGTAATTGTTATTTGGTTCGTCTGAGTTTATTCACTGGAAGGATTTGTCTCCTCATTTTGTGGTTGCTTACATTAAAGTTAAACATGTTAACCAGGAAAGTGTCTCCAACATATCCTGTGATGTCCTTCCCAAGTGAGGAGTAAAAATGTCCATGGCAACATATCAAGAGGGATGGATCTTTGTCTCCATGAAACACACAATGTTACAGTGGCAAACTACTCTATAAAACACTGAGATGTTCAGGGAAGGCTGTCAGTGATGATCAGCTCCCCATGATGGATGGAGCTGAACTCTGCTTTCCAGAACTCCTGAACAGCTCCTGCAGGAAGATAACATATCCTCCCTCAACATCCGTCCTCATCTTAATCACTCTATCCTCAACCTCTTTTCTCACTGTGACTCTCAACCTGCTGGTCATCATCTCCATCTCACACTTCAGGTAAATCCTCATTTGAACACATTTCTAAAAGGATTCTTGTCTGATAATATAAAGTGAGTGTTTTGGTTTCTTATTCTTGGGTTGTATTTTCCCAAAAGCTCCTGATCTTTTCTCTGCTTCCTCTCCAGGCAGCTCCACACACCCACCAACCTCCT